ACAGTGTCCTATGACTAGAGTTCCTTTAATTTTCTTTCCAGTTTCAAATAATTCCCAAATAATGTAAAACACTTTTTTCCTTATTTGTAACAAATGTTGAACTTTTTTGTTAAAACTACATTGGTATTCTCTTGAGAATATGTTCTTTGATTCATTACCACAGTAATCAAATTGCTAAAATAAAACTTATAGTCTATCAAGCCACGTTTCACACTAGGAGCTGACCTGTCCATCATTACCATCAGCTGGGATCATACAAAATGAAAACTGCAGAGACATGGATCACAATTCTCCAACTTTCCTTAGACTCTAGGATGGCAGTAGAGGACTGGAGAATTGCAAATGTTACTCTTACATCATTTTTGAACAAAGCTGTTAGTCAAACAAATACAGGCCAGTCAGTTTAACCTTGGTGGTGGAGTAGGTTCTATAAATGATAGACCAAGACAAAATTAATAACTCACATGGATGAGGATAGTGACGTCCACGATGTGGTGGACATGGATTTCCAAAAGGCATTTGATAAAGTGCTGCACAACAGAGGTTGTGAGCAAAATTAAAGCTTGTGGAGAATAGCAATATGGGTACATAATTAGCCAAATGACAGCAAACAGAGGAGTGGTAGTGGTTGTTTCAGACTGGAGGAAGATTTATAGAGGGTTTCTAGGAATAGGTGTCACGTCCCTCGGTCTTCCTGATTTATATTAACGATGTTGACTTTGTTGTACAGAGCACAGTTTGAAAATTTGCATTATACGCAAAACTTGAAAGTTGCGAACCATTAGTTGGGTGTAGTAGTACTTGTAAAGATCACAGACAGGTTGGTGGAATAGACTGACAAGTTGGTGATTATATTTAATCAAGAGAAGTGGTAGGAAAAACACAGGAACAGTAAAAAATAAATGATACAATTCTAATAAGTGTGCAAAGAGAAGAGGGATGTGGGTATGCATGTGCATAAAATGTTGAAGGGCCAAAGCACTAGAGAGCATGGTTAAAGAGTGGCATCCTGGGTTTTATTAAAAGCACATTAACTGCAAAAGCAAGAAAGTCATGTTAAACCCATATTAAATACTGGTTTGGTCTTTACTGGAATATTGTATCCAGTTCTGGGCACCACACGTCAGAGCTGATGGAAAGGATGCAAATCAGATTCACAAGGACATTTTCAGGGATGAGGAACTTCAGTTATGCAGACAGATTGGAGAAATTAGGGTTGTTCTCACTAAAGAGAAGGTTGAGAAGAAATTTTATAGAGGTATTCAAAATTATGAGGATTATCGACAGAGTTCATAGGGTGAAACTATTCCCATTGACAAAGGGATTAAAAACCTGAGGGTAGAGATTAGAGGTGATTGACAAAAGAAACAACGGTGACACAAGGATCTGGAATGCACTGTATGAGTATGTGATGGTTAATTAAGGGTTTCAAAAAGAAATTGGATAATTACCTGAAAAGGAAGGATGTGCAGGCCTACAGGTAAAAGGGGACTGAGACCAGGTGACCTGCTCCTTCAGAGTGCCAGCAGAGACATTACAGGCTGAACTACCTCCCTAAAATGCTGTAATCTTTCTGTGATTTCTGGACAGCTTCCTGTTGTCCCCCGAGTCACCTCCAAAATGTTCATTCTGGGACCCCTACATCCCAACTATTGTGCAGAATATCTCCAACTATCCCTGGAACTCTACAACTTGCCTCTCATTTCCTTCACCCTCCCCTCATGACATGGTTCCACTTTCCACCATACTAAATTGCCTCACAATGCAACTTCAAATCGACCATGTTTTGGTGCTGTGCTCCAGTTCAGGTCAATCTCCAATCAACAGGATAGTTTTCCATTTTGCAGATTTCTCACAACATCTTGGCCCAAGCGTTTCTGTAAAACCTGAATTTACCTTTTAAAATATATGGAGACTGGCCTACATGTTGACCTTGATGAAATATTTCAATCTTTAGCCCCTCACTGGCAGTTCCATAGAGTCGATACCTCATAAGAAATGTTCCATCATTTCGATCCAAGGGTGCTGGTACATAGCGCCGAACATGTTCTCTGGAGGAGAGCACTTTGATGACCACATTGAATGTATTACTTCCTAAATTAAAAAAGGAAAATGAATGACTACTTTTCATTTTTTCTTATTGTACACTCTTTATTAACATTGATCGTATCATAATCTTGAAAACTTTTTTAAAAAAGTCCACAAGATTGGACCTTTGCTGGAGGGGAAGTGTCAATAGAAAATCTACATTAGGGTGGTTTTTAATTTGCACAAATATGTGAGCACAGAAATTTGATTACAGTCTTTAAATGACTCCCAGATGTCTGGTGGTGGTCATATTTCCGTTATTCTTTGTGTGAGGAATCGATTCTATTTTAGTGCTACACAAAAGGTAGATGCAGAACAGCACTGACAAGTGCTAACAGTGATGACTGCGTTCCTGAAGTTTAGCTATATGTTAGCCTACACCTGGCTGCACAGAAATATTGCAAACCAACATAAGTCAATAAAGTGAATCACAAACAACAGATTAACCATGTTCTATCTGGAAGTGAACAAAATAGTTCAAAATGCCCAAAACAATTTACATACCGGGAGAATAGGTGACATTTTCCTCTGAGTAGGTAACTGCCTGGATATAGAAATATCGAACCGGCAGCACAACATCAGCCCTCAGACCCGGCCCCCAGACTAAACTTTTTGCAGCACTCACTTCCTCTTTGCCTGTTTCACATTTACCAACAGAAAGCATCAAAAACAACACCGCCGAAAACGCCCATAATAAAAGCTGCCGCTGCATTGTTTTCCTCTCATGTACTCCAATTCACAACGAATACATATGCAAGCCCCGCCACTCTACCCAAAAATATTCAATGCCACCCGAAGTTACTCCACATCCTTTGGCCGCCTTATGGCTGGAGTGCGGAAACCCCAATGGCTGCAAGGAAGCAAAGAACATAGCGTTGGAATGAAGGGAAAACCAGGAACGGATCCCCAGTGGAACCGAACCGAAAAAAATACACTTGCATTAATGTAGCGCCTTTCACTTAGTAAAATATCTGCAGGCTCGTCACAGGAATGCTGTCAAATAAGCTTTGTTGTCTGCGCTGTGGGTGGCATTCATCCTGCAGTCAGGTGGAGGTGAAGGTCCTCTACCTTGGAGTCTGCCCCAATTCAATTGGTGTGGAGATTGTTGCATGCTACAGTCCAATCTAACGTGTTTTAAATCAATTAACATAGGCCATAGCTCCCTGTAATAAGTGCAACCTGTATGCGTCTGTATTTCATGATTACACCAAGTCTGAGAGGTTGCTCCTCTACTGGCGGTTGCTCTTTGAGCCCATTCACTCTTGGATTTTTGGTAACCCTAGAGGAAGGACTGCAGGCGGCTCTGAGGGGTTTGCAGCTCTATGGACCTCCTTAAGGACCTGTCCAGTTTGGCCTTTAAAAGATCCAGTATGGTGCAGTTAGTGGCGGTACTCACTTAAGCAACCAGCCTGTCTGTTTCAGGTATGATGACCATGTTTGAACGTCTGTGGAAGAAAAGCATACAGGGTTTACCTCACCATTATACTTGAGGCTTTCCATCGCTAGTGGACAACTGTGGGACTGAAGTACACTGTGAATAGTCAAGGATTTCTTAGTCTTTTAATTTCAAAAATATTTTGTACCTCTTTAAAAGGGAGCTATTATGATTTACCAGAAGCGTCAAACGAAGTTTCACACTGAGACAAGCAGGAGATTGTAGGACAGATGACCAGTAAGGTAGTGATCTTATACCAGGGATGTGCAAGAGGTCAGAATTGAATGGGAAGAATAAAAAAGCAAAATATTATTTAAATGGACACATGGACATTCCAACAGTAGGTACACACATTACAACTCACGTGATTTTTCTCTTAGCTTAACTGAGGGGTATGGAAATCAGCTGCAACACCCTGAGTGGCCCAACTGTGTATAGGAATATTCAAAGGTTTTCAGAGTCAAAATCTCCATTATTTAGTACATTTATCAACTGGCATATTGAAAGAGACCTTGAGTTCATACAACTGCATTTGTGTAACAATTAGGTAATATGAAAAGCAGTGACATATCGCAATGCGGGGATTAACTGGTAACATACCTATTGAAGAAGTGGCTACACTTCGAGTGTATCTGAGCCATTTTTCAAACCAAACAACTGCGTCCAAGAGCTTTTCCATGCAAAATTGTTGGAAAACAGGCCGAAAATTCTCACTGACGTCCGCGAAGGCTTGATATTTACCTTCAAAGCTTGGTTTCTGTGTTTCCAACATTAATTTCCTGAGTATAAAGATGAAACTTTTAACCCACTCACCTTAATACACTCACTCCACCAATGCTAGCTCAGATTTGCCAATCTCTAGGAGAGGAAAATAAGATGGTATGAGAGCAGGTGATGGGTTTGTGTTCTGCAATATCAGGAACTGCCCTGACTCAAACAAAAACAGAAATTGCTAGAAAAACTCAGCAGGTCTAGCAGCATCTGTGGAGAGAAAACAGAATTAACATTTCAAGTCCAATTATTGTTCTTCAGAACTTCATATTTCTCAAATCCAAGACAAAAAACCAGCCCGAATAATTCCACTTAAAATGCAGTAAGATGTTAAGATGGTTATGAAGTAATCTGTAGATTAATCACATGCACTGCAAGAAAATATTGCAAACATGTAAAAGCTGATATAAAAATTTATGAAGGAAAATGTAAATATGGCTCACCCTGGCATGGTCCTCATCTTCATTCCAATAAGCTAAGACTTAATAAGTTATTATTAGTGATTTTGAATTTATTATTCATCAATTTTCAGTGATACCTTTCCTTGTAGAACTTCATAAAATTCTAAATTTGCTGAACCATTGGTTGCCATCGTTGTTGTCCAGGCTTTAATCTTTGGAATTCATTCCTTACACTATGACTACCTCACTTTCTTCGTTTAAGTCATTCATAACATCCATTTCTTTGACCAAACTTTTGGTTATCTGATCTACCGTCTCTTTTTGTGGCTTGATATCATACTGTTTTATAATGCTCTTCTGCCAGACCTGCTGAGTTGGCCCAGTAATTTCTGATTTTGATGTTGTTGTTGTATAAATGTAAGTTGTTATTCCTTTGCATTGCCCTGCTCTAATTCTTGTATCTGTTTTTCTGGTAGTGTGGTGAACATACAGTCCAAGGATGTAAAGCCCCAGTTAATATCTGTAGTTTATAATCACTAAGCCAGCTGTTGATTATAGCACTTTATCTCTTTTTAACTGCTTTGCCACATTTTCCAGATATGGAATGCAATCAGTTGATCATCACTGCTAGGTAGCTTGCTCAGTTGCCATCTACCAAATCAATTCAAAGACAAGAGTTACGTAATATGTTGCTAACTCACTTCTGTGTGCTGTTGAGGAAATACCCTGTTGCATTATTTTAAGAAAGCTTTTATTTATGTCTTTTTTCTAAGAAAGCTCCTCTGGTTCTAATCAAATTTTATTTCTCAACTAAAACTTGAGAAATGAATATCTAGTCATTAATCTCACTGCTATTTTTAGGACACTGTTGTACTGTACACAAATAAGCTCTCACATTTGTGAACATTACAGCATTATGATCTAAAAGCAGTTCATTGGCTGTATGATATTGTATGATATATGGCAATTTTAATCTCAATATGAATGTAAATTGCTTGCTTTTCTTTTATTATTTATCTGGTTTGATAGATAAGTCATTTTGCAAAAATTGAATCTAAGTTTGTCATTCTTATATACATAAATCTCCCAAACCTGTACTTGTCTGTATAGCTCAAAATACAATACCAACTTTGCTTTTTCTATTTATTTTGCATAGTTCATAGGTAGGAAAATACACAGGGATGAAGTGTACACTTTCTACAACAAAACATAAAAGTGTTTTACTCAAAGCCCAAACATTTAGAAGTTTATATAAATGCAATATTAAGGGCAGTAATTTATTAGCAGCACAATTTTTAAATGATTATTTTAACATGTATTTGGTTAATGGTACTACTTATACATATTGTGCAAAATTATGATCACACAGGCAGCATGTTCTATTGTAAAACATTTTGACCTGATCCCTAGGTATATTTTTGAAGATCATTAAACTTATAACAATGAAGAATTAAAATAATATATGATAAAGAAGAAAAATTTAGAAGCTGAAAAACTGAAATGAGAACAGGAAAGACTGGAGTGCAGAACAGGTCCAACGAGGGCAAAAATAAGTTAATGTTTCGGATAAGATCCTGCATCAAACATCTGATGAAAGATCATATCCAAAATATTAACCTATTATTTATTTAGCCAAAACCTGAATATTTATGCTTTCAGGGAAGATGGTCTTATGTGTTATTTATATATGACCATAACCAAATAGACACTTTTCATCACTATTTAACATAAGAGCGTGAATTAAGCCTCCCTTAAAATATGAAAATTCAATATAACTGTCTCCAGCAATAAGACAACTACTTCCCACTTTAGAAAATGTATCATATAACTGCCAAAGGGACTGACAACTAAGTTATACATTTCGAAAATACAAAAAAATGGTATCAATACAATTGAGTATTTTAGTGTCATACTTGAGAGCACCTTGACACACACCCAAATGACCATGGCGGCCAACAATCAATCATAAAACATGATTTGTTACAAATCAATAACATACACTGCTACCCATTCTTATAGGTGAGAACAGTATTATAACACAGATTCTTTTACTGTATCATTGCCATCCAAGAAGTACTCATCATCAGTAGTGGTGTCTGAGTTTGTATCTGAGTAACAAGAAAAGTTCTGTTTGTCAACCGCAGCTGGTGAGCAATGATGGTGTGGTGAAAGACTGTCTTCTGACACTTTACTACCTGTAGATGATGAACTTAAAAGTCTGATTATATCTGTGGGATTTTCCTTAGGCCAGAATAATTTAATGTCTACAGGAAAATATTCATGATTCCCTTCTGTATCATCATTCACCCCCGGATCCTGGTTTATTCCACTTGTAAGTGGATTGAAAACATCCTCACTTCTTGGAGACGAGACCCTCTTGTGAAGGTATTCAGGTTTCCACAATCTGTCCACAACCAACACTCTTTCCATGTTCTCAAGATGTGTTTCTTTCCTTTTCTCTTCTTTAGAAACATTGGTTTTGTCTTCATTTCCAATTACTAACTCATGATTGTCCAGCCTAATCTTATTGCCATGATCTGTAGCCCAGTTGTTCTGGTCAAATTCATTCTCATTTGAAAAAGGGATATCAGAATAACATCGATAAAGTTTGCTGGATTTCATACAACTTGAAAACTGAAGCCTGGTGATGACTTGCTTGTTTCGAACAGCTGGTTGAAAATTATACAGCCTGTTTGTGGAAAATACATTTTCATGATCTTGGAAGGTGGATTGGTTGTAATTAATATCTTTTAAACTTTCAGTCTTATAGAGATTACCACACCTACTTTGAATATTCTGAGGATTGGGCCTGAGAGAATGTCTCAAGCTGTGGTACATTTTTGAGAATCTAGCTGTCCTTGCCTGGTATTTATCATTCAGTATAGAATGATCACCTTCATCAATACCAGAGGAATTCGCTCTGTATTGAGAAAAATCACTGTAGGCATTTAACCTATTATGAAAGTTATTAATCTCTGAGAGATCTGAATCAGTTTGGCCCTCCTCTGGAGAACATTGCTGAAGTGCATTAGAGCCTTTTGTATTTTTTGTCCGTGTTCTCAATGCTTGATTCGGAAATATTTCTCCACGGAACGATTTCCTTCTACATTTGGATATTTTGCCACGTTCTTTCGCATTGTCACAGTTCTGTGCCAGGAACTCTGCATTTGTCAGTGAATGATCACACATTGCATTCCTGTTGTAATGTACAATATTTTCAGGAGACAGAAGAGCAGGTAACAAATCATGTGATGAAGAAATGTTGTTGTTTAGATGGCTATCAATGT